AATAATTTTTTAACCCTAACCCTAACCCTAACCCAGTGACCAATGATTCTAAGGAGTAGAATTGGCCCCATTTTTTCGGACAAGAAAAATGGAACCCAAAAAGCAGTAATGAATGAGTCGCCAAGGTCTCCCAGAGAGTGAGTGGCTAAGCTGGAATTCAACCCCCAAAGGTTGATCTCATGAAGCCCACACTGCACTGTCCCTCCTACTCTCAGGCTGGAGAAAGTAACATTACTTCCTTGGGTTCCTCTGCCCACTCAACCAGGGGATGGCAGAGCCCCAGTGAGCCACCAGGAAGGAATGGCTGCTCCCCGAGCCCTCCTGCCCCACTTTTCTCCCTTCCCTAGGAACAAAAGCCTCTTCAATGAAGCCCCTTCCCTTCCCAGACCCAGGTCCACAAGCCACAAGCCCCAGCTCTGAAGGATGATCAGTGCCTGGGCAGGAAGACCACACTGTGAGAGGACCAGCTGCATGGTGAGGTGACAGGGCCTGGCAACTCTATGATCAGGGACAAAGCACCCAGGGGTGCCAGCCACTCAGGTGCCAGGATTAGGACAAACATGAAAAGTTCTACTTCACCATGTTTTAAGAATTTCACCGGTTTTTGCATAGACATAGCAAAACGTTAAAGAACGAGATATGTGTATATGAGTTGTAGTTCCAGGTACACATTTATGTTGAAAGTGCACATTTGAAATGTTTTGTTTTTTTGCCAGAGGGGTAAAGTCACAAGGACCTGGGAAGGCCAGGCGGTGGTGGCTGTACAACACGACTGACGTGTCACCGAATTGCATCCGTGAAGAAAGCCAGGTTGTGTGATGCATGTCATTCTTATCATTAAAAACGGGCTTCGGAAGCCAGTGTTCTTCCTGACAAACAACTCCAGCTCCCCAGGCAGCAGGGCTGCAGGGCTGTGCCTGCTCGAGGTGGTACTGGCGCCTGGTGAGAGCTATAGGACCGACTGCCTTGGTGGCAGGTGGCACAGGAACCCCACTCTGGGTAGACATTTGGGAACCCACACTGACCTGCCCAGCAGCCGGAGCTTCCTCGGGCCATACTTGTCCATGACGATCCCCAGGGGCAGGGTGATGGCGCTAAGCAGGAAGGAGCCCACGGTGAAGGCCAGATTCAGCATCTCATCCTGGGCCTGGCAGCTGAGCCAGCCATTCATCCAGGTCACCTCCTCCTGCTCTGCCACAGAGCCATTGGTGGTGTTCTCTGCGTGTGAAGTGGAGACAGATAGGACCCTGGCATCTAGGCAGGGCTTCCCAAAGGTCAGAGGAGCTGGTGCCCATTCAGAGTCCCCCGACTGGGGTTGGGGGCACCCTGAGACTCCGACAGCCCCATAACACACAAGGGTACCCATCGGGCTCAAGCCACCTGGAGCCATAATGCAGAGCTTTTGTGGGGATCCCAAAGCGACCCTTTGCTGGAAAACTGCACAAAGCTAACTGCCCATACAAGACGAATGAACGTGATGCATGCCGTCGAATCAGACACCTGACAAAGACGTCACTGAAAAGGCTGTGCTCCGTGCATTGGTGTCACACTAACACGTTGCTGTTTCTTAAAGAAAGGAAGTTGTGCTTTTGCTCCAGGAAAGGCACACTAAGTCTTGCCCCCAATTCCAGGGGCTTCATGTGTCTGTCCCTTGAGTCCCAGGGTGAGGATCCCCATGTCACCTCTGCTCTAGAAGAGTACACCTCAGAGCCCCCTGCCTTATCCATGGAAACAGACAGCACCCAGGAGGGACAAAGCTCCCTCAGGGAGGAGTTCAGTTCGTGGGCCTCCTTCCTCTTTGCCTGCTCAGTACGGGTCCCTGGCACACCCCCCACAGGCGCCCCTCCCTCCCTTACCCTGACGTCATCGCGTCAGCCTTACAGCTGAGTCTGCAAGGTCTTTTTCTTTCGGCTCTGCGGCGCTCGGCTGCGTCTGCTTTCACTTGCTCAGGTGCCTCTTTCCTACTTCCCCCTACTGGGAGCATGGGCATGCTGCTTCCTGTGGCCGCACCCAGACCGCCTGGCAGGTGCTCACCTCCCCTCGTGGTGTGCCAGGCTGCTGGTGTGGCCATCTCAGGCTTCCTGGATGGGGGATGGGGGGCGAGCAGCGGGGGGAGGTCCCCTCCAAAGTCCACCCAGCGCCATGACAACCAAAAAAGGGGAGGAAAAAAGACTGCGGCAGCCGGCGGGGCAGGAGCTCAGGCTGAGGCACTCTGTCCTCACTGGGGCTGCTAGTTGAGAGATGCTGACTAATCCTGCAGAAAGAGGCGCAGCCGCAGATTAGACTCGAGGTCACATCGGGATAGGCAAGGCAGTTCCTCTCCCCAGATAACTGCACTTCCCGTTGTGGTTGTGGCCCTCCTAGGCCAGGGCTATAAAGGAGAGGTCTGCGAGGCCAAGCCTCCAGGGCTGCCCCAAGGTCGCAGAAAACGGTGCCTCTGGGGTGAATCATTCCATCTGTCACCCTGGACCAGCGAGCCCTGCTGGGGACACGTAGATTGAGGGTGTGGTGCTGGGACCCCGCCTCCGGGTTCCCAAGTTAGTGCTTCTACTTTCTGCTTGTGTAGCCTCAGAGGAGTGACTCAACCTCTCTCTGCTACTGTTTTCTTATCTGTAAAATGGGCCTAATATAATCGTATGATCCTTCTCCGGGGGGGTTGGGGAAGATCGATGAACGATCCAAATTATATTCTAGAGCTCGCAGGCATGGGCAGTACTCCGTGACAACAGTTCACAGTGGTGATCGGTGTTGTTAACTTGCTGCCATCGAGGTGACTGACTCATGGCCACCCCAATAAACAGGGCAGGACGGCCCCGTGGGTCCCAAGGCTGTCATTCTTTATGGGAGTAGAGAGCCTCAAGTCACTTCTGACTCACTGCGACCATCCTCACAATTGCTGTTTGAACCCATTATTGCAGCAACCGTCAGTCCGTCTCATCAAGGGTCTGCCTCTTTTTCGCTGACTCTACCAAGCACGATGCCCTCCTCCAGGGGCTGCTCTTGGGTGGGGGGTGGGGGCAGGTGCCATGCCCAGGAGCCCAAGGCTGTAAACCTGTGTGTTTGGTAGCACGACTCCCCGTGCTGATCTAGTCTCCCGATGGACAGGTGGAAGGTGGACACTAAATAAGGAAAATCCGAGAAGAATCGGTGCATGTGAATCGTGGTGCTGGTGGAGAAGGCTGAAAGCACCACGGACTGCCCAAAGAACAAACAGACCTATTCTGGAAGGAGTGCCGCCAGAATGTTCATTAGCGGCCAGGATGGGGAGAGACTGTCTCGCGTACTTAGACATGTTGTCTGGGAGCCCAGTCCCTGGAGAAGGACGCCATGCGTGGTAAAGTGAAGGGGCCTGGAAAACTGAGGCAGGCCTTGGACGAGCTGGAGGGGCTCAGTGGCCGCAACAATGGGCTCAGACATCAGATCCGTTGGGAGGACGGTGCGGGACCGGGCTGGGTTTCCTTCTGTTGGACACAGGGTTGTTCTGAGTAGGAACCGACTTGATGGCCCCTGACAACCGTGCCCCGCTGGACCGTGAGCCCTAAGGGAAGGGACTGCAGTCTCCACCCACCCCAGCCAGCTCCGGGTCCATAGCATCTGTTTGCTGACTGAACGGAACCAACTCACGGTGGCCAAAAGGGTCAAGAATGACACGTGGAGCCAGTACGAAGATAGACGGGATTGAAGGAAATGACACCCGCGTAACTAACCATCAGCAACCTACAATTTAACAAACCAGCCCCCCCACCCCTCAATTCCTTTCTGTCGGAGCCATGGTGGCGTAGTGGGTTACACAAGGGGCTGGCTGTCCGCTGTTTGAACTCATCACCTGTAGAGATTGGCAGCCTGGGAAACCACCTACTCTGCCTTACAGGGTCGCTATGAGCCAGAAATCAAGTCTATGGCAGTGAACTTTCTCAAAGAGCTCTGACCACGCTACACCCAAACTACAGAGCAAACAGAGTCCTGGACAGTTCCGGGCTGTCACAGGCCTTGGCTGGCAGGCCTGGCCTGCAGGTCCCCCTCCAGGAAGCTTCTGGAAAGGAGAGCTGCCTCACAGGTTGCCACTGGTTTCAGGTGTCTCTGCCAGAGGCAACAGGAAATGGCTCCGAGGTGGGGGTGGGGGGTGGGGGGGAATGGAACCCAGACCCTGCAGCCTTTCCAGGTTGGTGAGCAGAGAGGTGCCAACCAGCCCAGGCGGGGAGGGAGTCCGTGGGGCGGGAGCACCCGTGTCTGGGACAGGACGAAGGGTTTATGAGACCTGATGGTGGCACAGCCATCTGGAGCAGTCGCTGTCCCTGAGAACACGAGATCACTCGGGGCCTGGAGGGACTTTCCAGATGGGGGGTGGGGGTGTGTGAAGAGAGTTAGGCAACATTGCCTATTCAGATCTCTCCCCTGAGGTCCCCCAGTTCTCTCTGGGAGCAACCACAGCTGGGTCCCTAAATCCGTGATGTCACTCGTGGAGAGAGAGGATCAAACCTCAGTCAGGGCCACGTCCCCTGATGTGGCAGGGGGCTCATCTGGAACAACTCTACACACACTGTAGGCCACCAGCCTTCTTTCATGAAACAAATTCCCACCTGCAGGGCAAGCTGGGCAGGGGACCCTCCAGCCTCTAGGAAGTGATGGTCACCAGCAGCTGAGTCAGAGGACAGGGGGCAGGCAGTCACTGAGCTACCGCTCTCTCGCCTTCCCCTCAAGGACGAGCGTGTTCCTGTCTCCTATGGGCAATGAAACCTCTATGCGCCCAGAGCTTTGCTGGCCGTATGAGGCCCACTGGATTCTTCAGTCAGTAGATGCCAAAACCCAGTCCTCTCCTACCCAGAGTTCCTGTCTCTCTGCTCCCACCTGGGCCACTGTAGGCCCCAGAGACTCAAACAGACCAGCACCCCGGATGGGCCAAACTGGCACCCAGGATGGGCCAAACTGAGCAAGCGCTCCCAGCCTAGTGCTCAAGCCCTCCCTGGCCCAAGCTAAGCCCCCTTTTCACCTGCACATGTTTATTAGACAGATAGTGCCACTGTGGGTAGCCCAGCGGGGGAAGGTGACTGGAGAAGACGGGCGGCCCGGGTGGCTGCAGTAAGGGAAGGACAGAAACACAGCTGCTCTGGGCAGACGGGCAGGGAGGGAGAACAATGCTCCGCTCTGTTCACCCTCCTCACAGAAGACGCTCACACAGCACAGAAAAGGCAAGAGAGGGGAGGGGGTGCAGGGAGCCTCCCGCCCTCATCACTGGAGGGGTTCCCCTCCCACTCACCCACTGTGCTGGGGCGGGGAACAAAGGAAGCAGGGAGCCTGCAGAATCAATCGCTGACCTGGGGGAACAGAGGTGGGGTGCCAGGCTGGGGGGCCCCTCTCCATTCCTGCCTGACCAGCCCCCCTTCTCTGAGTAGTCGCCCACATACTGCGGGGGCCCAGGACCACCCTGCTTCTGGGCCCAGCCTCTCTCCAATCCAACCCTTAGTCTATCCGGCAACAGGAAGCAGCATCTCTGTCCAGCAGGGGAGATGTAGGTAAGAGGTCAGCGCCAGCCCTGTGCAAACAAGTGGCAGCACACAGACGTCTGTGGGCCCTCTGGGGCCCCACCTGCGTGTCATGGTCCCAGCAGTGGCTGTGACTGGAGGGCTGCTGGATCCCTGGTGTGTGCTGGCCCCTGTAATCACTGGACACTAGGCCCTCTCCCCGCCCCCACCTGGTCCATCCGAGGAGACCCTCAAAGCAGGTAGGTCACTTGCTCAAGGTCTCAAAGACGATACATGGGAAGCTGAGACTTGGCTCTAGCCTTTGGTTCCCAGAGTCCCCGCCTAAATCCTGCCAGCTGACTTGATGCCGGAGGGCCTGAGTTAGTGGGCAGTCACTCGATGCTTGTACCTCGGCAAGAAAATATGAAGAGAGTGAAGACACCCAAAGTGGCATGGGGGAAGGGGTGCCCCCTCAGGTGGCCCCTCAGAATGCTCAGTGGGAACGGGGCTGCCCCCGAGACTATCCACAGGGCTTCTGGAAGCTGGCCCAAGCTGGACAGAGCTCTGGGGGACACCCACCAAGAAGCCAGGTGGGGTGCCGGGATGTAGTGGAGGGGAATTAGGTCACAGAAGGCGAAGGTGGTGGGGCGAGCGGGGGCTGGAGGCAGGGGGAGCCAAAAGCACTTTCCCTCTCTGTGACATCTCTGAAGCTGGGGGTACCAGGCTGTAGACCCTCTCTTGTCCAGCTACAGAATCTTTCTATTTTAATAAACCAGAGTGGGGGTGGGGGTGGAGGAGGGAGATGTGGTCTTATTTATAGCAACAAAGGTGAAAGGCTGTATCTACCCAAGCGATCAAGGACTGCCCTTTGGGGTTGAGGGACTATAAACAGAAGGGCCATGGGCAATAATCACTGTCTTTGGTCCTCACTTGCAGCCTGGGCTGGACCCCTCCCTCTCAGGTTGGGCCCTAGGGCCTCCCTGCCACTTGCTTCAGGCTGAGGGGCCCAGGGCTGGGCTTCCCACCTCTATAGCCCCCACCCCAGGTGACAGTTAACCCCGTGTGTCACCTAGTAGAACTGCACCGTGGGGTTTTCAAAAACAGATGGCCAGGCCTTGTCATCAGAAGCCTGTCTGGGTGGTTTCAGGCCAACCTGTGAGGTCCTAATGGAGGCTTTACCGCACGCACCCCACAGGGACTCGAAACCAAACTCATAGCCAGAGCCACTGGGTCCTTTCTGACTCATGACGACACCCCGTTGGACAAAGAAGAACTCTCCCTGTGGCTTTCCAACACTGCAGCTCTTTATGGGAGTAGAATGCCTTCCCTTTCTGCCTCGAGGTGCTGGTGGTTTCGAACTGCTGCCCGAGTGGTTAGCATGTGACAACCGCTCAACAGGTCCTACGTCTCCCGCAGACAAATCTGAACATCACTCTCTAGACACCACGGTTTCTTTCTGCCCTGAAAACCAAAGCCAGGCTCTCTGAGTGGCCCCTTCCCAACTCTCTGATCATCGCCAGCCATCAGGGGCCCCCTTCCTGTCCCCCTCACCCCTCTTCTCCAGCCTCACTTCTTATTCCTACCCTCCAGGTTTCTGCCTGCACCTCTGAGAGGCCCTCCCAACCCAATCCGAACTCGATCGATCGATCCCCACTGTTGTTCTGGCTCTTGGCACCAAGCTCTCCTGGATCCCAGAGGGCCACCTGCCACCTGGAGCGACAGAGCTGGGTTGGGACAGGCAGGTGGCAGAAGAGTTCCCGAGGGACAGGATGGCTGGGCCATCCTCAAGACCTTGATAAGTGTTTACCGCACGTGTAGGTAGGACGGCCCCCATCCACCTGCAGGTGAGTCACTCTGTGGGAGCGTGGGATACCATGATGCCTGAAGCGATGCCACTGGTACTTCAGGACATGAGAGTCCTCCTACTTTATCTATTCAGGGACCCCTGCCGTTTGATACAAGTCTGAGGCGTGGCTTTTCTGTGGCTGTAACACCCTCTGTCCTGCCCGCCCCCGCCCCCCACCGCTGTTGCAAGTATCCGCTGGGTGGACAGGTTTCAGCAGTTTCCTGAGTAAGACAGACTAGGAAGAAGCAGTGGCTAGTGATACCCACTGAGTGCTGGGCTCCCACTGGACGATGAGCCCCTGGGCTGAAGGGCACTCCGTGCACAGTGGTCACAGCGCTGGACTCCAGCCGAGTGGGAGCTCGTGGGGATGGTGCAGGATCAGGCAAAGTCCTGTTCTGTTCTTCATGGGATCGCCACCACTCGAAGCTAGTTAACTCAACAGCAACTAACGCCAGCTTAGATGGGAGGGAGGGAGCAAGGTATGAAACACCCTCAAGGACCACTATGCCCCTGAGCTGACCCTGTCAAAGTGGGCCACTGGCTGATGGGGAGGGGGGGGGGATGAAGAAAGAAGTCAAGTGTGGGTGGCGAGAGTGGTCACCCCAGAGGCCCAAAGGGCACAGACCTGGGAAAGCCGCGCTCCTCCCAGGGTGGGAACCAGCTGGTGTCTCCGGACCACACCAGGGTGCTGGGGATACCTGGTGAACATCAGGCAAAGCCCATCAAATGCCCAAAGCCAGCTCCCTGTCCCCTCTCCTCACTGGCTGACTGACAGGTGAACACAAGAACTGAGGGCTCACAGAGGAGAGCGCAGCTTCTTTTTTACCAAGCCGCAGGCTGGAACCCAACACCATGTCTTGGGGCCAGATTCTTGAGAAGAGGAGCCTTTTCACGGGTTCAGGAATGTTTTCTTTAGAAACCCCCTCAAAGCACCCATCCTAGAAACAACCTGAAGCGCACACGTTTTTATCTCACTCCGTTGAGGAATTCAAACCGATAACATAACGGTCTTTAACTGCTCCTCTCGTTAACTCAGCCATCCACCAACTCGGAAACTGACCTGAGCGGAAACCGTGACCGGATATCTGCTGAGCTCCGGGACAGGCAAGGCACTGGGATTCCTGGCCCCGAAAAACTACAGATTACACAGAGTCCGAGACACAAGGAGCCAGCGGGCCAGTGATAAGCTCTGTGGAATCAGCAGGCCTTCCCACCCAGGACTCTGGGTCAGCGGGTTGCCTAGATAAACCGGAACGCCAAAATCAGAAACAGGAGCAAGGGCGCGTGATAAGAAGTTGATGTTCAACCCACAACCCTGACCTTTCACCTTCTCGTTAGTTTACAAGAGGGACCCATCCAGACGCTCGAGGGCTTAACCACCAGCTCAGCACCAGCTCAGCACCCACAGGGTGCAACCCCTGGACTCCGCCTACGTACTCAAGGGAGAAACCAAGGTTGAGGCAGGAACCAAGTGACCAGTCCCAAGGCTGCTACGGCCAGCAAAAACCCAGGAATACACTCAGTATCTGATCTTCGCCACACCACGTGGGTCAAAAAAAATCTCTGACCACAGTAGTCTGCTGGTCTGGACAGGCTGCCTAAAGCTTGAGATGGGGAAGATGAATTTGTCTTTCTGTTGTTTTAAGTCTTTGTGTGCAGTTCGAAACAGCCCCAGTGGTGTAGTGGTTACACGCTGAGCTGCTAACTGCAAAGTCAGCCGTTTGAAACCACCAGTCACTCCAAGGGACAAAGACAGGGCTTTCTACTCCCATAAAGAGTTAGTCTTGGAAACTCACGGGGTGAGTTCTACCCTGTCCTACAGGGTCGCTATGAGTTGGAAGAGACTCAATGGCGGTGAGTTTGTGTTTTGTTTAGTGTACTCTGAAAGGTACCCCGTTGGCCTAATGGGTTCACGACTGGGCTGTTAACCACCTGGTCTGTGATCCAAATTCCACATCTTCTCTGCGGGAGAAAGACCAGGTTGTCTGTTCCTGTAAGATTTACAGTCTCACCCCAGCAAAAACAGACCCGCCCCGGTAAGTCAATCCCAACTTCACAGCATCCTGATTTAAGGTTTCTGAGGCTGTAAATATAGGGTCTCTAGGTTAGAATCAACTGATGGTGGGTTTTGTTTTTGGCGCAACCCAAAGAAACTTTTGGGTGGTACAAATGGTTAAACACTCAGCTACGAACCAGAAGGTTGGTAGTTCAAATTCACACAAAGTGGCCTTGACAGAAAGGCATGATGATGTCTCCAAGGGACTGAAGCTCTGAAAACACTGTGGAGCACAATGACCAGGAGCTAGAAATGACTGAGGGTGACAGGGTTGGGTTTTTGGTGTCCAGCCTAAAGTCCATCAGGGAAGAAAGCAGGAAATGTCAGGATCTCAAAGGGAGGAAAGGGGGAGGGGGAGGGGGAGCCCAATTCCCCAAGCCATTCCTTTCAGAAGTCATTAATCCAACATCTCTTGGACAAAGAGAAAAGCTGGTTCAGGGAACAAGGTCTGACTCTCCCATCTCCCAAGATTTCTTGCTGATGTGGGGAAAGGCCTGCCAAGAACCCTTAGACTAGTAGGAAATATCTTTGAGTGGCTAAAGGTTAAAGGTTAGAAATGATATACTTTCTGTCCTCTTTCAGGGAGCCTCCTGGTCTCCTCCCTTTCTCCTGTCCTTAACCTCTCAGCCCAAGCTTCCCTAGAGACCCAGGCACTCTGGGCAGAGCAGGGGAAGGATCACACAGGAGGACTCTACACAGGGGTTACAAGCACCATCAGCTGATCCAAAGCTAGCTCTTCCCCCAACTTAAGTACCCCAGAAAGAAAAGGCGCGCCTGTGGTGATTCAAGGGGTCAAGCTTGAGCAATGTCCACTTCAGTGGGCTTGGGGTAGGGGCTGGCCGACAAAGACTTGCTGGAGAAAGAGAACTTGAGTTCCACTTGAAGGAAGCAGCCGCTGCTGGGGCAGAGAGGGGACCGAGGGCAAGTGTTTCTGACCAAGGGTGTCTAAGGCGAGGGTTGAGGGTGGGGGGTGGGGTGTTCGAGCTCCTTGGCCTGGATCTACTGACCTGGCACCAACAATTAAGACCCTCAAAGTGTGTTTAGAGGGCTTTCACGGCGCTCCAGTGGTAAAGTTTTGGTGAGGGCAGACCTTTGCTCATTTCCACCAACACCCATCTTCTTCCTCCTCTCTCCCCCACTGGGCAGTGGGAGGTGGAAGGCCACTGAGATGGCCTCATAGCCCTTGAGAGGAAATGTCCTTTGGACAATCATAAAGCAGCAAAAATAGACAAGAAACTGTATCCGGCACGCCTTGAAGAGACTCCATAATGGCCCCTGAAAAAAACATCTAGTTTCTAGATGCACCCTCTTGGGGTGGAGGGGAAGCCACTTCCTCTCTGCAGCGTCAGCCACTGACTGCAGAGTTCCTCTTTTGTATAACCTATATTTTCTAGAATCAGGCAGCAACTCGTCTACTGAGCTCCCACTTGGCAGGAGGTGACTCTAGCCATGTGAAAAGACCCTTGGACTTGAGAGGTTCCGGACACATCAGATCTCTCTGAGCCTCAGTTTCTTCATCCACAAAATGGGGCAAATAACTCAGCAGGGCTTCATGGGGATCAAACGGGCCTCTTGCCAACCAACACACACTGTACAATGAGGTGGCCCCGCTGGCGAGGCCTTCTCGGCCCACCAGGCCCCTTCCCAAAGCCCCTTCTCCAGGAACCACCCCGAAGTGCCCGTCTCTCACCTGGCTGGATACACAGGTAGGAGTAAAAGCCCTCTGACTTGAGCATGATGAGCAGCGAGCCCCAGCCCAGGAGGACTGCCGAGAAGAGGAGGTTTTCCAGCACGGCTGTGCAAGCCATCCACCAGCGGCGCCGATGGGCAGTGGCCAGAGTGGGCGCCATGGCGCAGCGACGAGAGGACGCAAGGTGCAGCGGCTCGGCTCCGACCCAGGCTTCGGCTCTGCAGCCACCTGGGCACAGACCTCGGCGTCAGCGACCGGCCCGGCCTGGCCCAACGGGCGCGCGGGGCCCAGGCCGCCGCCGCAGGGCCAGGAGCGTGTCGCCGCTCTGCAGCCCGAGCTGCTGCAGGTGCGGGCTGAGAAAGAAGCAATCCCCAGACATCCCCGACCTGGGCCACCCGAACCTGCGGCTGTCTCGCCTGTCCGTCCTTAGCTACGCAAGAGCCGCCCCTGACGGGCAGAGGGGCGCAGAGGTAAACTGAGGCAGGAAAGGACTAACGCGTACTCAGGGACTTACGACAAGCCCTGGCTCCCGGCGGGACTGACAGCGTTTGCAGGCCGTCAGTGGAAGCAACCTGACGTCTGGCCACCTGCGCAGGGCCATACCTGAGGATTCCCACTCCCTCCCGCCCGCACTCAAGACCCTTCCCCAGAGCGGATTCCTTCAACCATAAGATCAGCGCTCGGAGCTCGGCTCGGCCCGCCCACGGGCCGCTCATTGGCCTCGTGATACAGGAACTGCCGCCCATTGGCCTCCGTCTAGGTCGCTAGGCGCTGCGGCCACGCGAACCCCGCATGGGAGAAGCGAAGCCGGTTCAAACCGGCGGCGCGACCATCCGCGCGACCCCCATCCCGGGCCATTACCTCAGCAATTAGCCCGTTTCCATGGAAGCGGACTCCCGCCCCTCGGTTCCCCAGCTCCCTCTGTCCTCTCCCCTCTGGTCGCCCTCCTCTCATATTCACACACCTTCTCTCTGCGCCCCTCTCCAACAGCTAAAGCCCCCCCCGTACTCCTACCAGGAGCCCCGCGCCCCGAGCCCCGGGTCCAGCTCACCCGACTGCTACTGGTAAGTATCGGGCCCGCCCGGCGCCTTTTCTGCCCCCTTTTATTCCAGCCCTTTTATTCCGACCCCAAGATGAAAACACTGCTTCCTGCTGATTGGCTGGACGAAGCTGGAAACAGGCATTAGCCAATCAGCAGCCACCCGCCCGCCCGGCGGCGAGCAGAAGCCGGTTCCGGCCGGACTGGGAGACAAACAAGAGAAATGGGGGGGCCGGGGGTAACTGGGATCTAAGCCGCGGCGCTGTCGCCCTAAACTAGAGTTCGACCCGGGCCGAGGACCCCGGAGGTATTTCCTCCTTGCCTCACTAAGCGAGACCCCTCTGAGCGTTAGCCTTTGCTCCGCGACACGGCGCTTCCCGGGGCTCCCCCGACTGCGCCCCGATCCCCCTGGAGCACCCTACTCGGCTCCCGCACTTCGTTCTCCCGTAGCGGGTTACGGATGCTCAATTCCCCTTCCGTCGAGGCGTCGCACCCCGATATTCTGGCTCCACGGGGTACTCTTTCGGCTCCCTCTCGCCTCTCCCGGAGCGGAGCAGCTGCCCCCGCTGTGTTCGGTTCCTCGCTCTCCGCCCAGGATCCTCCAACCTAACCTCGGTCCAAGCTGGTCGGCGGCTCCCCTGCGCCCCGTTTCGCCGACCCTTTCCCCTGACCTAGATGTCATCCCTCTGCCCGGTCCCTAGATGGTACCCCTTGGAGTTCCCCAGATGGAAGTTTGGGAGATGTCCGTCCCGTCCTAGAACGATGTTGCCTCTGGTCCTCCGTCCAGACATTGACCTCCCGGCCCCTGTTCTCCTCAGTCCCCTAGGGGACCCCACCACCCCAGCTGGTCATTTAGGTGCGCCCTGCCCGAGTTGACCTCTCCACGTCCTCTGTCTTTGAAACCACCCGCCACTCCGCGGGAGAAAGACCGGGCTTTCTCTGCCAGTCAAGAGTTAGTTACAGTCTCGGAAACCCGTAAAGGCTGTAAGGGTATGTGATGTGAGTCCGCATCGACCCGATCGATGGCAGTGATTTTGGTGTTTTGGTCATCCCTTAAGTAAAGGCCCTCGCTGCTGGGTGAGCTGTGGCCAGTCAGGCTCCCCCGGAGCAGGCTTGAGGTCCAATCATTGGAGCAGGGTCTGCCCGGGCATGGAGCAAGGGCTCTAAGATTCAGCTGCCCGGTGGCGTTTCCCTGAGCAGAGCCCCCAGCCGGACCTCAGAGCAGAGCGCCTGCCACCCCCAGATTTGGCCAGGGGTCCCTGGCAGCTCGGGAGAAACTGTAGGAGCCACCAGCCTCCTGCTCCACGTCCCCCGATCCGAGCGCGCCCTCTGGCGCTAAGAACCGGCTGGCCACCATTCAAAGTCAGCCTCGCCCAGGTAAGGCCTGAGCATCAAGGCTGGAGGCGCCTAGCTGGTTGCCTACAAACCCTGCAGAATCTCTGGCACTCGCAAAATTCCCACTGTCCTCTGACAAACCGCTCGTCCTTCCCTCGTGCCCTCCTAGAGCCAACTGCTTGGCTTCATACACCTCACTGTCCCCCCCCTCCCCACCACGCCCCTTCTTCAGGTGATAGTTGCTGAAGCTAGACACCCATGATCCATCCTTTCCACAAAGATTAGGCATCTATTGTGATTCCTATCTCCTACCCTACCCCACTCCCACCCCCAATACAGCCCTCCAAGCTCAAAACAACTCAGGGCCATCAATTGCTTCTGACTCATAGCGACCCTGTAGAGCAGGGTAGAACTGCCCCTGCAGGTTTCCCAGACTGTAACTCTTTATGGGAGTCGAAATTGAAAGCCTCATCTTTTTCTTCTGCAGAGCCCCCGGTGGTTTCCAACTGCTGGCCAACTTGTAATCACTATGTCACCAGGGCTACGCTACCTCCTAAGTACTGAATTATGCATCCGGCCCTCAATTTCAGCCTCTCAGATAGGTCTCCCCTCCAACACTAGTTAGCCAGGAAATGCACATCTGATCCAGACATCGCTGCTGAAGACCTTCAGAAACTTCTGACCATAAGTCCTACAGGACAAAGTTCAAGCCTCCCAAATTGACTCACAGAACCGCATTACCACCACCACCACCACCACCAACAACAACAACCCTTTCCTTCCTTGGGAGGCTGGCTGAGCTGCCCGGTTAGATACTCCTCCTTCATGGAATTGTTTATGGTTCCTCTCATGTTGATCCCTTCAACAATCCCTTCCTGGACAGCGCCTCCTGCCAGAAGTCTTCCCTAACCACTCCCACTACCCTTCACCTCTCCTTGTCTTTGAGACTAGTAGCCCTGTTTATACTTACCTGCTCAATTGTTTCTCTCTCCTTTCTTATGAACTTGGGGGCAGGAACTGTGTCTCATTCAACTTTGTGTAGCCCAGCCTTTAGATAGAAGCAAGCATAAAGCAGGCACATACTATAGTTGGTGAGTTAAAACACGTGTAAAGGGGAGAAGGTACTAGAGAGGACATCAGGGATTCAAAGTTGGGAGAATGATGGTGATGCCCACCATAATAAATGCCAGTCACCGGTAATGCTGACGCATGGCAGTGCCTGTGTGTCAGAGAGGAACCCTGCCCCATAGGATTTTCACTGACTGGTTTGGGGGAAGCTCACCAGGCCTACCTTCTGAGGTGCCTCTGAGCAACAGATTGAAACCATTTGCACTACCCACAGACTCCATGCCATTAATAATCAAGCTTGATTGAAACCTAAAAGCTAGTCCGGGTGTTTTACAGGTTAAGCCAAACCTAACTCACTGTCCTCAAGTCAACTCCGACTCAGAGCGACCCTTTAGGACAAGGTAGAACTACCTCTGTGAGTTTCCAAGACTGTAACTCTTTAGGGGAGTAGAAAGCCTCGTCTTTCTCCCATGGAGCGGCTGGTGGTTTCGAACCGGTTTCAAACCACCAACCTTGTGAGGAAGAGTCCAACATGTAATCCTACGCCACCAGGGCTCCTAGGCTTTACAGACTTAATCTCCCACAGCCACTGTGGGAGATGAGCATGATCATCACTCTTCAGATGTGAAAATGAAAGCTTTGACATTTCAAAGTCAAAAGACAAAATGTGGACTGAGATTCAAAAAAGAGCTGGGATTTGGAGCCAGGTCTGTTATGAATGAAATTCTCTTTCTATGTTGATTTGTTCCTTTGTTTTTAGTCCTTTGGGCAAGAGTGCTAAAAGCTCAATACCAGCATTGCTGATAAATCATAAACAGTAAAAGTTCTAGAGGAAAATATGGATTATCTCATTATTTCACTGATTTTAGGATAGAGAAGACCTTTCCACTGTTCATGATAGAAACTCAGAAGTAATAAAGAAAAAGCCTGCCTAAATTACAAATGTAAACCTCAAAAGAAAAAAAAAAGGGGGAGAGAAACCGAGTGTATTAAAAGACCAGTCACAGCTGAGCAAAGAGTGAATATCTTTTCTATAGAAAAGGCACAAATTGGTGAGAGAGAAAAGTGAACACCTCAAGTTAAAAAGAGGAAAGACTATACCTAATAATCTACAGGAAAAACAAATGATTAGGAAGGTTTTTTTAAAGCTCAAATTTAGAATAAGCCTACAAAGTCAAAGAATAATGAGATACCATGTTTAATCTATCACGCTGGGTTTTGGGAGCTGAGTACTTCCATACTTCTAAGACTAAAACTGCTGATTTGGGCAAGCAGTTAGGGAGTGAATATAAAAGTGTCCAACATTCTTATTTCCCAATCCAGCACTCCTACTACTAGGAAACTATTTGTGGCAGTCACATAATCTCCTGTCAACTTGCGAAAGGGTGGAGTCTAGCCTGTCAAGCAGGTCGCAGCTTGATGACCTCATTTGGAGGTGTGAAGGAGA